AAGGGGAAGACCTTAAGGCCAGGGACAGGACTCCTAAAAGCCAGTCTGCTGTGGAATTTACTTCAGTGCCAGAAGCTGTCAGAGTGAAAATCTGCCCAGGCCTGTTACCTGATTAATTATGCCACTGGCACATCATCATTCCATTAAAGAAGATTTCATTTTAATCACTTTGAGATAGATCTGTGGCTTGCGGCTATACCAGCTTCCTGTTTGAGAGAGTCTCATACAGAAATTTTCCAAGCCTATTACTAACAGTTAATGATGTATCTGTTGAAAGAACCTCAATGTTTCAGTTCTGCAGTGTTTACTCGATTTTGATTTCTCTTTGCTTCCATCTAGGGCAGTAGTGGTGAAACTACGGCACGTGTACCACACCTAGCTATTTGTTATCAATGAAAGCTCTAAAAGGTTGACAACTGAGTCTTTTCATCTGATACATGGTGTCCTTCAGTACACTCAGGTGAGTGAAAGAGAAGTAGAACAGTGTCAAAGTTAACAAATGCAACTAAATAAGGCCCACTTTTAAAGTGTCCTCATGTCGGATTTTAGTGTTGCTTGCTATCTTAGGTTCACAAGTTAAGTAAATGTATCTGTAATATTAAAAGCAGGAAGAAAATATCTTTGATACCAGCTAGTACCAGCAAAGAATCAGTAACTTTTTGAGTGAGGATATTAAAAGGCCTTGAGCTATTCTGCAAGAAACAACCACTGACCCATACTTGCAAAGATTGTGAGTTTCCCAAGAAAAGGCTCTTTCCTGTTAGATCTATCCAGAACTCTTTCACAATAAGTGAAACCTTGGCCATTTATAGGTTCTGTAGGAACACAGGATAAAAACAGCGAGAAAGTTCTAGGCTTGGTAGCGCGTGTCTGTAATCCCAGCACTTTGGGGGCTGAGACACGAGAACCACCTAGATAGAGTTCAAGGACTACACACACACAATAAAGAATGAAGGAAAACAGGAAAAGTGCTAATGTCCCAGTGCCCTGCCAACTGTGGCTCTTCCACACAGCCTCCTTTCTTGATCTTATTCCTACGGATTATCCTATGAACAAAGATAATTTGGTGGTCCCCTATGCCAAGCCTGGCCCCATCTCATTGTGACAGATTCATTATTATAGACCATGGCGCTGGAGCACAACTGGAAACATCACACTCTATACGGTTCCTACAGGACTCAACACCTCTTTGAACTCTTCACTGGTGCTGCTGATACATACAGCACCTGAGCTGTCTTCTTGGGAAGGCAAAGTCTGCAGTCTAATCACTTGTGTGTTTAAAACAGTGACTGAAACCAATACACCCAATTAACATGATTAATACATAGACCAGTGACTCTAAAGTTGAGACAAGTAAGGCATTTGTTACAAACCCATCTTCCACCCTGAGAAGTCTGAGGGAATAGGCCTAGGGTGGGCATGGGAATCTCTATTTAACAAGCACAACCTGGTGTTCTGATGTAAGTGGATAAAAGACTACACTTTGAGATACACAAACTTGGTATAGTTAAGCTTGTATGTCATATTGCGTTTTTGTAGCAAAAAACAGAAGTCCACACATATTCACTAAGTACCTACGCTAGGCACTGCCATGTGCTCTCGCAGGATTCCCAAACATAAGGCAAAGGCACCCATAGGAAGTGGGAGACATAAAGCTTCTGCTCCATGGCTGAAAAGAAAGTGAGTTTTAGAGTCAAGACAGAAGGACAGATAAAGAATTGGTCATTTATAGTATGAACACTTATTTTGTTTTCTGTGGGGACACAAAAGGGTGCGCAGAGGCAGCAAGGACAGCTGCAGAGGACAGGCATCGCTAGTAGAGCCTGGAAAGATACATGGGGAGAAGAGCATCCCAAGAAGCAGAGGCAGCATCAGACAAATTTCTCTAGTGCCTAAGTCCACAGTTCATCCAAGAAAAGGACCAGAGGACAGACCAAGTAGTACTTTAGAGCTGGTGAGTACAAAACAGTAAGATTAAAAAAAAAATCAGGTGGACTTCATACTTAAAATAGCAATATATAAATAAAATAGTAAAATAAATTTTATCATGATCTATAAGTCTATGGTTTTCCTGCTTTACAAAAAGCTGAGAAATCCCTTCTTCAAACTAACTTGGCCATGTCTGAAAACAAACTGCCACCATACCACCACTCAGAAGTACCCTAGCAGAAGTTGGGGCAGAGATGTAGGACACCCCCCACCCCACCTCTTTAGATCACATGACCCCCCAGCAGAGGCATCCTTAGGTGATAAGAGAGGGTGAAAAAGTTTTGAGACAAGATCAGGTAAATGTTCAGATGTCTCAAGAGAGGGTGCTTGGAGGAGGGAAGGGCTGGGGGTTGGGTAGGCAACTAAGCAGGCTGGTGTATGATCGGGGCTAGAGATGACTAGAGCCTGTAGAGAAAGGGACATGGAAAGGAGGGGATAATTTAAATTTTGAAAAGGTCATCAATAGCATGGAGAACAGAACTGGATGGAATGCAGTACTTGGGTGAATCCGAGATCAAACCAAAGTTCTAACTTCGAAACATGGGTAGTATGCTGGGGCTGTGAGCCAACATATGGTGGACAGAGGACAGCAGAAAGAAATCTGCTCCATTACTGAATAATCAGCTCACACTGACAGGGACTATGGATTTCCCTACCCCTCGGAAGTGTGTGCCTAGAACTCAGAAAGAGGTGAGGAATAGAGATGAGATGTACAAGTGACCATCCGAGTAAAATGAAGCACCACAGAAGAAGATAAACTTCCAGAGGGCAGAACTGAACACCTGTGATACCGAATGAGGGCAAGGCTAGCTCCTTGTGATATGGGACATGCCACTCTCTGTCAGTGGTCAGGGGAGGTCTTGCTGAGATGACACTTAGAAGGACAGGAAAGAACAGACTGAGCAGATATCTGTGGAAAGAGAGTCCCAAGGAGTAGAAACTTCCATGGTAAAGGGATGTTGGGGATGGTCCAATGAACTGAAGGAAAAAGATGGGAGGAGAGTGACAGGGGAGATGCTTATCTCCAGGCTTCCAGCACAATCCTTAAGCTTCCCTATATGAACTCACGTGGGACTCTGCAGGGAGCCCCAGGGCCCTTTCCACTGGATATGCAGGCTCTCCATGTTTCCACAGCCCTCCTGCATTCTTCCATACCTGACTCTTCAGACAGTCATTGTGAGACTACCTTATAAATCCTTTATATAAATATATCACATATATATAGTATTGAATCTATGCCTTGTAAGTCTTTTATGTGTATCACACACACACGTGTATATAGTATTCGTAAATCCATTATCATACATTTATCAAATCTATTCCTCTAGGAACTCTAAGTGACACAGTTGGGTACAAAGGACTCGGGTTGTGACGGTGTACCTGGAGGATAATGTCGCTGCCAGCCGCTCAGATCAGAGGTAAGGTGTGGGAGGATGGCTAAGGAGGTGGCTGGAAATAGGCTCCATTTGGGTGCGTATTATAGTAGACATCCATAAGGGGACTGAGGAGGAGTGGGATCTACAGGGTAGAGTTTTGGCAGTTACTAGCTTAGGCTGAAGCTTGAGTCCCAAGAGACTAAGGGCAGTGGGAAGGTAGAGCAGAGCCAAGAGCAGCAGAAAAGAAAACTCAGATGAAGATGATGCAGTGGAGGCAATACAAAGGAAGACAGCAACACACAACCAGGGTGGCCTCCGAGAGTCAAGTCAATTATGGTTTCAAATATCCAGAAAAGAGGAAGAAACTTCTTCATTGCATACCCCACTCCAAAACACTGCGTCCCATGCCCCCACAATGCTTAAACTCTTAGCTGTTTAGTCCTTTTTAACTAAATAAGGGTTTTCTGGAGATGACTACTGAGAATGCCAGTAACTCTACTAAAAGGTTTTTCAATTTGCCACGTGAAGGAAATGAATTGAGGAGGCTGACTTCTATCAAATTCACATGAGCCTCTCCAGAGCCTGGATCAGAGCATGAGATGGGGGGGGGGGGGCTGGTAATTTGGAAGCACAGTTAGAATAGTGTTTATCACGCGAACTGACTAAGCACTTACTGTATGTCATCACCTGTCGGGTATGTTACATGGCTCTCATTTAATCCTCAGAGCAGCCCTAGGAGAATTATCCTAGGACCAATCTCAGTTTACAAACAGTGAAAATGGGGCATCAGAAGGCCAGGCGCTTTGCTCCTTATCCTACAGCAGGTTGGAAGATGGAACAGGCCGGAGTTTGGGGCTAATCTGGAGTTTTTAGTAGCAGGACATCACAGGATTCATCATTGCAGGACGGTGACCTATGCTCAGGGAAGGTTGCCCTGGACATTGCTCTTGAGAATGTTGCTTTTCTTAGTGAAAAAGATACAAATTAATTTCTAGAACAAGAGGTGTTCAAAACCCTGAGCAGGTGGTAGGTGGTATATATGATTCCCAAAGAAATAAAAAACGTGGGCCAGCGATTTAGCTCAATGATATAAGGGCAAGCACTAGGTTTGTGAGTTCAATTCCCCGAAAGTAAAAAATATTCAATAAAAAGTAGGAGATGACTGATCAGAAAACATGAATTTACATGCATCATGTGGGACGAATTAAAAATTTTAAATAGATATAGGCACTTCTATTAAAGATTTGGGCATTGTGGAAATAACATTTTACTTGATTATAGACCTACAGAGAAAAAGATATGCTATCAATAGTAAGAAAGAGTTTGTACCTCAACTGAATTACATATTTTTGGTATCTTTAATAGAAATGTGTGTTAGATCATCCCTAAAACGTGTTTTCATATAGAGATTACATTTTGACCTCATAAAAAATTCTTTTGATACTGCTTCCACTAGTCAAACATATCTACTACTAGGTCCACTGATCCAGATTTAATACCCTGAAGGTAAATACCAGGTAACAACAGCACAGTTACTGCTCTGCACGCCTTTGAAAACAGACACACAAGTTATGACAGTAAAATGTCTTAGAGTTGCATAACGAAAGTGAAAATACTTTAAAAAGGACACTCACTCCATCAACCCAAACCCCAGTTTCTTTTAGTCCCCGGAAAAGAAACTGTCTCCAAGTGTCACTTTCTATACATGAGTGCTAGTTCCAACAAGAAGAATGAGCTTGTCGCCACTTTAAAGGTAAATATCACTTCAAAAACTCTTGCAGGCATTTCATCGTGCAAGGCTTTCTAAAACCTAACTTGTGTTTGCTACGTGGATCTTTCAGAAAATTGTCACCTACATTTCATCCTAAAATCTTAACCACGGGTGACACAGTTTCACCAAAGTTCCATAAAGTTTTGGGGACCACCTTGAAGTGTCACCTGGACTGTGCATCGTCTATCTGTTCATTTGTTAGAATTTCTTGAGCTCCTTCTGCGTGTCCTGCATAGTGGTCGGGCCTGGGGTTAAGCAAATTGCCAGCTCTGTGATCCTCAGCTGAGGGCCTGGGAGACAGGCTGAAAATAAGTTCATATTCAGAGGCTGTGGTCACGCTGTGCATTAGGAAGCCAACGCAAGCAGGACAGGTGCACTCTGAACGCTGGGGTGAGTTTCTTCAACTACGGAGGCCTCTGAGAGAGGGCACCGGGGTGTCCCCTGAAAAAGTCAGGACCGTCCTCCTTTGCCAGCAAGGTAAGCGGCCGCTCCCCACAGAACCCCAGCGCAGAGCGGGCGGCGCTCCACGGCCGATAAACAAACACCCGCCCGGGGCGACGGAGAAGGTGGGCGGGCGGCGCCCAGCCCAGCTGCACCCGGGCGCGGAGCCCTGACCCCACGCCGCACGCCTCCGGAGGCCCGACCACTCTGCCGCCCGCCGTCCCCGCGCCGGTGGGGTCCGGAGCCGCCCGAGCACCCTGAGGGACGCCGGGGAGCCGCCACCCCACGCGAGGCCCGCCGGCCGCCACCCCACGGGCGTCCGAGCTGGAAGGGACCCGGGGAGCGGCGCTGCGAAACTTTTGGGGCTGCGCCCCGCGCGCCCGCCCCGGAGTGGAGGCCGCCACGGAGCCTCTTGGCGCGGCCCAAACCCCCTGCCACCCGGACTCCGCGAGTCCCGTGCGCGGGGTTCGGTGCCGGCCGGGCCGGGCCGGGCCGGGTCAGCGCGCGGGGCCAGCGGCTCCCAGACAAAGCGCGCGGCGCACGCAGGCCGGGCCGGGCCGGGCCGCGGACCCTCACCTGTCCAGCCAGAAGGTCCAGGGCGAGTGCAGCGGGACCCCGCCCGGCTCGGGGCGCAGCGTGGACAGCGGCTGCAAGCCCAGCGGCGGCTCGGAGGCGGCGGCGGCGGCGCGGGGTCCCGGCGGCTCCCGGGCCCGGGCGGGGGGCGCGGCGGCCGGGGGCAGCGCCATGTTCTCCGCCCCGCCTGCGAGGCCGACCGAGGGGGGGCGCTGAGTCACCGCCCCGCCCCGCCCCGCCCCGCCCCGGCTGCACGGAGCGCCCGCCGCGAGGGGGCCGACAAAGGCCGCGGGCCGCCCGGGAGGGCAGGCTGGAGCAGGCGCGGGCCCTCGGGGTCCGGGGCTCAGCGGGGCGTAGACGGACAGAGGGTTGCCCGGGGCTGGCTCTGCGGCCAGGGGCAGGTGGGCAGCACGGTCCGTGGACGCGGCTCCAGTCCCGCGGTGCGCAGGAAGGAGGGATGGGTGGACGAAGCAGCAGTGTGAAGCTCGGGTGAGAAGGCAGCAGATGGTGGGAGGAGAGGGGAGGGCTGGAGGGCTGGAAGGGCAGATGGACGCACAGTTGGAAGGGACAGATAGCTGGTGAGGGAAACCGATGGCCAAGTGGGTAAAGAGACTCCAGGGCCCCAGAGGACAGACAGACAGACAGGTGGGGCTGGGAACCACTAACTTAGGGTACAAGGTTACAGCACGTTGGCCTGGCTTTCCCCAGGCCAGAGCAAGTTTCCTACCTGGGCTGCTTGACGGGACCAGAGTCCTCTCTGGTGTCTCAGGGTCAGCCAGAGCCCATCAGGTCTGCCCACAGCCCAGGCACGGAAGGAGGACAAAAGCAGATAGTTCTGAGCACGGGTCACAGAGATTCTAGGAGCTCTAAACACCGTAGAAGTCTCTGTGGGTCACGGGAAGAAGCGTTCTCCACAGCAGTCAGTGTGGTCTTGGACATCCTCTGAAAATGAATTTCTGGATAGTGCCTCCTTGGCCTTTAACAGCTGAAGATGTGAGTGTCTACGTGGCTTAGAATGTGTTCCCTTGGTTTGAGCAGCCGCCGCTGGGATGGGCTAGAAGCAGAGCTGGAGACTAAGAGGCATCCAGGGGCTGCACGGCATGTGACACACTGTCACAATTCCAGGGTAGATGCCTTCCCCCAAAATAAACAAGGCAGGATAAAATGACAAATCAAGACTGGAGCTGTGCAGTCCCTGCTTTAGACATAACTTGCATTCAACTGGAAGCAGTTGAATACTGGAAGCAGTGATGCCTTACAAAGTCCTTCCAACACTGAGATGGGGTCCATTTGGGTAGATGTATTGGTTCTTTTTCATCCTTTTTTTTCTAAGAAAAATATTGTATGGCATTTTTCAGGTTGTCCTGAGTACTTTACTCTATTAACTTGTCTAACTTCTACAACAATTCAATAAGGAAGTTACTCTTTACCTGTCTTACAGACAAGAAACAGAGAAGTTAACCTCAAGGTCACACAGCTAGTAAATGGTAGAGGTAGAATTTGAACACACTCTGGGCATTCAGCTGCCAGGCTCTTGAGTCTCTATGTGGAAAACTAACAGGTCCAGATAGTAAAAATAAGCCATGATACAAGGTCTGCCTCCTTCCCAGCATTTACCAATTTTCCACCCCAGACGAAGCCACTGTTAAAAGCTTCCTTCCAGAAAAATGCAAGTGTGCACGTACAAATGTGTGTCTAGATTTATACCCATAACTTTTTTTTTGTCTTTTTCGTTTTTATCGGTACCAGGGATCGAACTCACGACTGCCTGCTTGCAAGGCAGGCGCTTATGCCGCTGACCTAAATCCCCAGCCCCTCCCCAAAGCTTTTTATAAATCATTTACTACCAAATGCTGCACCTTATTTTACTTTAACGTAGTATCTTGAAGATCTGTCATATCGAAACATACAGAGTACTTTGCAGGGCTACAAAGTAAGTCATTGTAAAGAAGTATTATAATTTCATTCACTAGCTCTCAACATTTATGTGATTTCTAACCATTCTATAAATAATACGACTATGAACATTTTTATATTTATGCCTATCCTCATCTGTACAAGCTTATCTCAGAATAAGCTTGGAGAAGAATTGTTATCTGCATTTAAAAATTTGAGGTATAGTGCCAAGCTGCTCTGTAGTTTATAAATTTATATGGAACTGATTTATTGATTCTGAAAATTTATGTTTACTGACATTTACCTGTATAAAATTCTACATACAATTTGTGGGAGAGAAAGTTTTGCTTTCTAATGACTCTGAAAGTAGTCAAGTTGTCAAATTTGGATTTTTCATTAATAATATTATAAGCACTATTTAGTTTATATAAAAGGCAGTATATACTCCGTAATAAATTCCTTTCAGAATTTAGGATTAGAGTCAATCTGATAATCTTTATTGAAAAGCAATTATATGCCTCCTTCTGTTTTTGCTTTGGCTTCCAGGATGCTCACAATTACATATGTTGCTCAGTCACAACTCAGGCATTAACCAATGAAGAAACATCATTATTGTTATATTCTAATTTTTATTTTAATTATCTAACTGCATATATGCATCTTATATTGCAAAACCCTCATATCAATGTGGCAAGTTGGTGTTATATAAATAAAATTTAAATGACTTTAAGGTTAATAAAAGAGATCAGGCAATATGGTTAAGACAGGAGATAAGTAGGGAATAGGCAACAACTTTCACTGCCTTCCTGTTAACATGTGTAAAAGACTTTGATTATTCTTATTGCTCCTCAGAATCATTCTTAAATGAAAACAAATTAGGAAATTTCTTTCATGTTCCCCATTCAACAACTGGATGGTAGAAATTAAAATTTTCAGGTAGAAAGAAAACTTGGAGAACATCTAAGCAAAGTTAAGACTAAAAATAAGGAAACTGAGGCCCAGAGAGGTAAGGTGACTTACCTGAGGCCACAGCTCTAGGAAATGACAAACGCAGATTAGGATGTGGGTAGCTTGAGGTCCAGGCCAAGGTGCTCTCCCACAGCATGACACACAAGGCAGACGACTTGGGGTGGCAGGAAAGAGGAAGAGAAGGTGACCCCACAGCCCCTAGCAATGAAAACAACAAAAAGGACTTGAGGCACTCATAAATAATTAAGCAATTAGCTGTACCAGCTATTCCCCTCCCCTCCAGCATCCAGTCACCAAGGCAACTTGGGCAGGGTGCCTGCTGGTTGCCTAGTAACAGTGTGGTCTGTTTCCCCTGACATGCTCCCTAGGCATCAAAGGATTTGAGAGCCAGGAAGAACCTTAGGCATCACTATTCCAACACCTTTATTTTGCAAATAAGGAAATGGAGGCCCAGAGAAGCTGGGTAACCTGTCCAAGGTCACACAGCTACTAAGAAGCATGGTCAGGCTCCATTTCCAGTTGCTTTCCATTACAGCAGGGCTGCCTAGGGCAGTCTACAGATGGAGAAGAGGAGGATAACTCTCCACATTTCCTAGAAGAATGAGGAAGTCAGAGCCAGTGAGCAAGCAAGCAAGAGACAGACCTTGAGCACTCATATGCAATTAGCAGGAGCTGGTAATCCCATCAGCCCAACTTTCATCATCACCATGGCAACGTGGGTGAGGTGGGTGCTGGTTGCCTAGTAACAAGTGGTCCTTTCTTCCACTCACATCCAGCTCCTTGGGAGTCACAGGAACAGAGGGATGTTGAAGTTGGAAGGAAAGGCAGGGATCCTAACTCATTTCTTTCTTTAAACAGTGATGAAACTGATGATCAGATTCCCGGCATATCACCTGGTGACATTCCTTCCACCAATGGTCCCTATCGCAGCACTGTGAAAAGGGAACCTTCCACTCTATAAAGTCAGAACATGGGTGAAAAAATGCCTAATGGTTCCCTCAAGAGAAAATACTTCTACCTTTTGTCTAAATATTGGTGATGCTACACACAAAATTTGGTACACAGCAGATGCACACAGGAGGTACTACTATGGCTAGTAAGTAAAGAGGGGGTCTATAAATTCCCCCCTGTATCTGGCAAGCTTTTTACCCTTCCTGTGCCTCAGTTTCCACAATTTAGGAATGGGTGGAAACTAAGTTAAAAGAGAAAATGTGCCCATCAAGGCACATATGATACACATGCGGAAATAGGTGTTCACTTACTGCATATTCAGTAGACACTTGTATGTCTGTTATGCAAATGCCACAAGTATAGGCTCTCGAGACAGAGAATTCAGACAAAAGAAATCCCTGTCTCAGGGAACTGACATTCCAATGTGTGTGCCGGTGTATATGTATATATATTTTAAAATTAAATGTTTGTTGAATGGATGCAGGAACTTGGTGGCAATATGCTGTTTATGTTACTGGGCTCCTTCTCTAAGACTGAGATGTTTCCTGTTTACAGGGTGTGATGCTATAAATATGCAGGCCTGTCTTTTATGTGGGAACTCCGATTTCCTTTCTCTTAAAAGCTCAGAACAAGGAAGACAGTGGCCACTAGAGGGCAGACTGCAAGCCCCTTAGACACAATGCAGGGGAAGAAACAGGATGGGACACAGGCTCTGACTGAAGCTTCCAGCAAAGCCAAGTGTTACCGGCTGCCCAGTCTCAGGCAATGGCTTGGAAGGGTGTTGAGACTGTTCCAGAACCCTGGACAGAGAAGGAGTGGAAAGAGGTTTTAGCACAGCTTAAGAGTGACCACTTTGAAAGACACTGATCCATGCTTTGACTAAGATTGTGCCATGAGTATATTGTGCAATCTGGGGAAGCTATTAATATGGTGAACTTGAGATTCTTTACCTGGGGAGTGCAGAAGATTACAAGAAGTGAATGAAGGGATGGAGTGAAGGAAATCACCATTATGCACTTGCAATGAGAAGGCTGACGTGGCCAAGGTCACTAAGCCTAGAAAATGTGGCAAGAAGGATCGGCTGTTCCACCTTCACATACGCCCACCTCTCAGCAGAGTCCTCTTCCTATTCTGCCCACATGCGCTGGGTTGGTCTTCCTTGTTCCCACTGGTGCCACCCACTCCTGGTTTCTCACCTTCTGAGCTCCAGCCAAGCATGGCATGGATGGTCACAACACCCTCTTAATTAGTCTCCCCACTTCCAAACCCAACTCTCTGATCTTTGGCCAACATCAGCCTGGCTACCAGCCCTCAGGCACAACATCCATCACACCGTAAGTGCTCCCATAGCTTCTACTGCCTTTCGAGAAAAGGCCCAAATTCTTTTCTGTGCCAATGAGACTTGGCATCTTCTGGATCCTTCCTGACTTTTTACCACATGGCTGAGCTCTCCCCCAACTTCTCTGGGGTTGTGCACATTCTGTGCTCCTGCTCTGCATGGTTGACCTCTTTGTGCTCCCAAACCTCCACTCTAATGTGGGCTGATGCCCTTCCTTGATTATTTGCTTCAGGGCATTCATCCCAAGCTGCTTGGACCTACTGCCAATCCCCGTGCTAGAATACAGTGGTACCCCGGTTCACAAACTTAATTCTCTCCATGATTTTGGTCACAAATCAAACTGGACAAGCAATGAAGCAAATTTTAACATTAAATCTAATCACTGAATTTGATTCCGTTTTCATTCAGTTTGGTTTGTGACAGAAATTGTGGAAACAATTAAGTTCATGAACTGAGGCATCAGTCATTTATGATCCCAAGGGGCCCCTTTGGGCCTACTTGCAACCTGTAGTTACAAGGCTAGTACACCACTGAGATTTCTTAAGGAAGTCCACTGAGTAGATAAGAGACAGTGAAGGACAAGTCCATGATTTTCTCTCCCGATTTCTTCTTTCTTCTCTGTCACTGTCCTTTCCACAAACAGCATACTGATCTTGCAAGTTTTTTTTTCTTTTCATCTATTACTTCTTTGCTTAAAAGCTCCAAATAGATGCTTGTCTCACAAAGAGTGAGGTTTGAAATTCTCCATACCTCAACCCACCATCCTAATTGCAGTTACAACTATATTTTGAAATATATCTGACATAAATATGTTTATGTCTAGTTACATATACTTGGAAACACATAATAAACATATCTTTGGAAAAATTACCTGTATATTTATATAATTTACTCCTATTCCCTGGAACTTGAGGCTTTCCACAATGTGAGCTCCCAAGGACAGGACTGGGATACCCTCTTTCCCCCAACATCCCCGGTTCTGAGTACAGTGTCTGGCTCATAGAGGAACCAACTTTACTGAATCTGATGAGCTTTCTTCTCCCCTAAGACATTTTTCTTTCTCATCTACATCTTATCCTTTGAATGCTAAGGAAAGGGCTATTGCAAGATCAGTGCATCCTGAAGGAGGCAGGAGACACAAAGAGACCCAGACATATGGCTGAAAAGAGCCCCAAAGTATTTTCTCTGGAAGTCCTCTACCTGGCAAAGGGAACACTGTTCTGAAAAGTAATCATTCTTTTCCTTGCTTAAAAAATGTCTCAATCAATATGGAAATACTGGTTTTGTGGCCAGTCTAAGAACTCTGAGTGAGTGATGGGGTTCTGCATGGTATTCCACTGATTGCACCAGCAATACTCCTGGGATCAGCTGCCACTGAGGGGCTGGGAGCTTGTTCCAGTGTTTGCATTTGTCAGGTGCAGCTCTGCACTCAACATGCATAGGAAGAAACTGGATTCCTGCCCAAGAATAGTTACTAACACCTTAGGGCCAGCTCATCAGTAAGAGGTGCAAGGACCAGAGCTGCTGAGGAAGGATGGCAGCCTCAACTTGGTGTTCAATAAGTTTTAAAAGAAAAAGTGGAGGAAAAATGAAAAGTAGGCAGCAGGGGGCAATGTGACCAGAGGAAAGTCCAAAATTGTATGATTGAGTTCATATTTAAAAGGGCATTCTGAAGCTAGACTATTGAAGCCTATGTTTTGACAGCAATAGAATTTAAGATGAATCAACCTATTTCAGTCTCTTTTAATTTAAATTGAAAAATAATTATGCTAAGAACATCTCCTTTGTGGTGGTAGCTGGAGGATGAATCAGGAACATTGGGCAGGACCCTATGTAAATCATAAAATGACCTGTAAGTGTTGATTGTGGCTTTCTTAATTCCCAGAAGGTATAACTACCTCTTCTCTGCTGTTTGGACATGGATGTTCCCCTCTGTACTGCTTAGAGAGTTAGAGAAGTGTGAACAGCATGGACAACCATCCTAGTTTGACTAGGACTATCCTGATTTGATCTCAAAAAGATCCATGTTCCATCACAATGTCTTGGAGAGCCCTAGTGCCTGGACAACTGGAAAGGTGAGTCAACCAGGAGCAAGTATGCAGAGCACCACCTGTTTTACCCAGTGGCATATTATGACAAGAAATATCCTGATATGGGAAATATAAGCTTACTAGGAAAATACTAGGAGGTGATAAATCATGTTATAAAATGACCACCTAGACTAGATTCCCTAGACCACAGTTATCCTCACCTCCTTGGAGGTAGGAGAAGATCTTTGTAGGCTGCAAAAAATAGAAGTAATGTTCATGCAGTGCATACTCAATAAATATCTGAGTAATGAATGCTTCCAGGAATATACCTAACACACCTTGGTTAAAACACAGATTGAAATTTTTTATATGTCATTTACTTCTTGAGAGATGAATACACTAAAATTTGAGATGCCATTAATAATGTGATGGGCAATTAGTAAAGGAAAATAAAACATATTTTGAAACAAAGCCACATTATATGCTTTACAAAAAAAACTGTAATTACATAAAATTTTCAGAATTACAATAACTGTGCAGGGGGCCACACTAGGAATCATAAAGATGTGTTCAGTGTTTGGGCTAATGAAGTCCCATCAGCAGGAATCACCTACTCCTAATCTACAGAAGCAATGTCAGCTTCTCCTTTCTTGTTCATTTCCATTTGTTGCACATCATGCACATAATATTAAGTTGCAGTTTATGATATTTCATTGAAAGTTTCTTAGTGTTTGTGATAAGATAAAATCTTACTTCCAGAGACCAAAAGTATGCACTTATTGAGATACAGATCTGTAACAAAATGTGAGCTCCACTGGAGTCATGCCAAGTTGGTGACCATACTGTTTTATGCTGTAAATACTTACTGTCAAGGATAATGATTTTTGGTGATAGCAAGCAATCACTTTTGTCCTTTCAAAGCCTTTTAGAGCCCTTAAAATTGTAAATTACCCTATGTAGCTTGATTTCTTATCATTCCTCAAATGCCTAAGGGTCATGTTTTCTTACTTTAATGGGCTAAAATATGTTATGTTAAATATTATCTGTCAATAAAATGCAGTACCATATTTTGGAAAGGCATAGTTCATGATATACATAATATCCTATTTCTCATTCCATGAGAAAATCATTAATAAAACCACACTGCATACAAGAATAAAAGTTTAGCTGTAAGAGAGTACAAATGACTCAGACATGCAAGGTATAAATTAGTAGTGAAGAAACAAGTCTACTAGTTACAATGTCCAGATGGGAATGAATAACTGAATCATCCTTCATCAAAGCAAACAGCATCTTAATAAATTGTTGCATCATCTCTATTGATTTAATTTAGCTGGAAGATATCAGAAAATGATTATGACCTGAAAAAGTATCATTTCCTAATCTGATTAGTATTTGGGCTGTGAATCTTCTTTTTATTCTGTAGGTGAATTTACCTCTAAAATGGGCTTTAGACTACACACTACCACTCTTGGAAACCCAGGAGCTTCTCTTACTATTTCCAATAAAAATTTTGCTAACCTCTTCCTTTGGTTCACGACTTCATTCTTTAACGAAACAGAAGCTCTGTACATATGATATCATCTGTAGGATCCCCTGAGATAGAAGATTAATGGGGTGTAAGTCCCAATGGGGAGGTTTTTTTTTTTCCTCTTGAAATATGTTCTTGCTAAATTGCAATTCCATTTAGGAGATTATATTTGTGCTCTCTCTTTTTCACTGGATGACTTTATAGCTTTGTGTCTCTTCTGCCATTTCTCTGATGGTAGAATTGGAGAATAATATGCCTTATATAAAAATGGGAGCTTCTGCCACATGCATGCTAGCTACCATCAGAACTGTCCTGTGGGCCAAGAGAAACAGCAGCCAATCTCGCCGCAACAAGCCATAACAGAGAACTAACTGTACCGAGTGTGCGACCAGAAGAACTAGTAAGTTATGCCTTGAAAAAGCCCTCCCTGCGACCCACCACTTCTTGAGGAACCTGGAGAGCCCAGATGCCTGACACATCCCCCTACACTGTGGAACAACATGGGAAGCACCTGGGACCCCAAAAGTGACTTTATCAGAAGGAACCCAGGAAAATTTCAAGATGAAGCAGCAAAAGACAATCTCTGGCCTCCAGCCCAAACAGAACAAGTCCACGAGAAATGCAAATGGAGGAAAGTGGAAGTCCACACCTGAAATTTCTGATATGACGGCAACTGAGGTAAAGAAACTACTGCATGAGGCTGCAAATGAAAACAGGTCAGAAATAATATCTGAGGTAAAAGAAGAAAAGAAAACATAATAAAAGGCTTGCTGATTATATCTAAAGAAAACACAGATTTAAAAAAGAGCATAAGAGAATAAGGAAAACCTTGAATGAACAATATAGAGAAGAATTGTAGTGCATGAAACAGACTCACAGAGAAATCCAGGAAATTAAAAACTCCATTGAAAGCTGGCAACATCACTTGACAGAAACTGAAGAGAGACTTTCAGGCCTTGAAGACAAGATGGAAGCTAGCGATTGTGAAAGGAAAGAGCTCTTAAAAATAACAAGGAACCAGGAAATCACAATTCAACAGCTACAAGATGACACAAAGAAAAATAATGTAAGGGTGATAGGTGTCAGTGAAGAAGCAGAAATCAACACAAATGCGATACAAAGACTATGTACAGAAGTCATAGCAGAAAACATCCCAAGCCTGGGAAAAGGACCTGACATGCAGATAAGTGAGGCATACAGGACTCCAATCAAGATCCTAGAAACTCAGCACAGGAACAGAATATTAAAGGCTGTTGGAGAAAAGAAACGGATCACCTATAAAGGAAAACCCATCAGAATCATACCTAAAGAAAACACAGACTTCTCAACATAGATCACATCAAAAGACAGCTTGTAGTGAAGTATTTCAAGTGCTGAAAGGAAACCACTTCCAATCCAGATTGAAGTACTCTGCAAAACTATCTTTCAAAATTAATGGAGACAGAAAATACTCCCAGGACAAAGAACAACTGAAGGAATTCATGACCACCAAACCAACTCCACAAAGAGCGCTAAAGGACATTCCAGGGAAAGATGAAAATGACCACAGTCCCAACAACAGCAGCAGAGGGGGATCACCGAGCAGGGCAGGTAACTGAATGGAAGGGGAAAGTAGGGAGCCAACAGCAGGGGAAAGAAGCATGGCAGAGACCAACCAGTGCCTGCTGGCTGTAACCATTCATGTGGGTGGCCTCAATTCACTGATAAAAAGAAACACAGGCAGAGTGGATCAAGGAATAAGATCCATCAATATGCTTTACAAGAAATGCGTTAACTCAAAAGGAAATTCATAGACTGAAAGTCAAAGGAGAGAAAACAAAGCTTCATGTGACAGGAAACCAGAAAAAAGCAGGGGTAACTTGCCCATTAACTGCAGAATAGATAAGAAACAGACGTTTTTATATAATGGAAAGCTCCTCAGCATTAAGGAAGGACAATCACAAGGCTCTTGTAGGTAAATGGTTGCAACTTGTGATCATGCTCTTTCTTGAGTGAAATGGTTGTGACCCACCTAGGTGAACACCATGTTGTCTTACTGGTATAAAAAAACTGAAGGAGTTAGTGAGATCTAAAATGTACAGTAGGGGCTAGGGTATTTAGCTCAGCAGCATAAGTGCCTGCCTGGCGAGCACAAGGTCCAATCCCTGATACCAAAAAACAAAACATGTACAATAGATACTGTGAAAATGAAAGGGAAGGAAACATCTAAAAAGAGAAAGTGGTACCATTGGAAATTCCCTATAATCTTGTTTTAAGGTCCTGTGTCATTTTTATTGCTTTGTTTGTTTGGTTCTATTCTGTTCATTTGGTTTGATTTTATCATATCTTATGGCATGGGCAGCTATTTAGAAGATAACAAGATGTACTTTGGTAGTCATTGTTGATTTCCTGTTACCTTGTTTTGAATTCCTGTATCACTTTCTCTGTTTTATTTTGATTGGTTTTATTTTTTTCTGTTTCTTTTGACTTTATTAGGTCTGATGATGTGGGCAGGTATTTCAAAAATAACAAGAGGCATTATGGCAGCCATTGTTGATTTCCTATTATCTTATTTTGAAGTCTTGTATCACTTTTACTGTTTTGTTTCAAATGGCTTTATTGTTTTATCTGGCTTTATTCTTTTAAAAATAAAAAATAAAGAATGTGAGTCTTACCAGCCAATTTAAAAGAGCAGGGGCTGCTACTCTTAAATCTCAAGGTTTTACTGGTCTGATCCCGCACCTGCACAGGTGAGCATGCCCTTCGTCAGTTTCCTTTCCCATTTGGTCCCCCACTGGTGAGGAAGCAATTTTAGCTCTTGTTCCTTTCCACTAAGTCACCTGAGACTGAGAGCTCTTGGTCAAATAGTTCCATTAACTTGCATAAGCATTGTAAGGACAAGTCTCTTTCACTGCTAAGGCCTCTTAGCTCCAACTTTCTCTTATAGCTTTTGCTTTTCCCCCCAATTCTTTTTTTTTTTTTTTTTTTCGTCTTTTTCATTTTTATCGGTACCGGGGATCGAACTCACGACTGCCTGCTTGCAAGGCAGGCGCTTATGCCGCTGAGCTAAATCCCCAGCCCCTTCCCCCCAATTCCTGAAGGCATGTTTTACTAAAAAGCATAAACCCACCCTAGGAAAGTTTTTCATCCCAGTTCTCTCTCTGCCTGTAGGGTAGCAAGGGTTTGGAAAGTGGTAAGTTGCCCCTCCCTACATCCATTCACTACCTAGCAGGTGTCTGTCCCTTAGTCCCTTGTTACGCGAACCCAGAATGAAGTTGGCCTTCACATTCATGGGTCAGAAATCCTCTATTTGGAGGATACTCTAAAGAAGGCACACATCTCGCCACCCTAAAGGATTCTTGTGGGTGGATGAAACATTTCCATAGGATTCACCTAGTGTTTCCCATACCCTCTGACTTATCCCTGGGCTATAGTCTTAAAAACTAGATTTAATTCTTAAAATTTCAAAGAATGAATGAAAAAGTTTTAGTCCCAATCTGTCTCTCTTTGTGCGCTCAGGATAGGGCTGGAAACT